TACAAAATCAACATACAAAAATCAGTTGCATTTCTGTACACTAACAACAAAGTAACAGAAAGAGAAATTAAGAATACCATCCCATTTACAATTGCAACAAAAAGAATAAAATACCTAGGAATAAACTTAACCAATATGCTCTTAAAACAACTCTGTGATATAAATATTATATCACAGAAAGACAAAGTGATAACAGAGGGAGGTGTGTGTCTGTGTGTGCATGTGTGTATGTGTGTGTGTCTGTGTCTGTGTGCAAGTCTGATAGTGTGTCTCTGTGTTTGTGCATGTGTGTGTGTGTGTCTGTGACTGTGTGTTTGTCTGCATCTGTGTGTCTCTGTGGGTATGTGTGTAAAAATGTGTATCTCTGTGTGTGTTGTTGACTGTAAAATGTCTTTCTGTGTATAAAGTTTATTTGGGGATATGGGACTCAGAGAGGACTTCACAGAGGATGAGATGTGAAATATCCTACAGGTAAGATGTCAGCTGTCCTGTGCAGGGAAGGATACATACAGATGCAAAGGGGACACCACAGGCCTGGTGCATGGGTGTGACTCAATGTGATGCATAATCAAATGGCATGTAGACCACTAGGGCTGAGCACAGAATCCTTGGTGAGCAGGGAGATGAGGTCAGAAAGGCCAGGGATGGTGTCTTGGAAGTCCTGGTGTGCAACGCCAACAGTGGGACTGGATCTTCCAGCGGTGATTCCAATCTGGGTTTCTCAGGGTGTTTCAAGAGCTCCATGAATCCTGGTGTCCACCCAGCGTAGTATGTAGACTGAATATGTAATGTATTTCACAAAATAGAGACTGACTTAAATGTGCATATTTCCTGATGTGAATAAAAATACACATTTATTGTAAAAACACTGCTGATAATTGGTAATAGTAGATAACTATGTTCTATTTTCTCAGTCAGAGTTTGTATAAATACACCTAGTATATTTTTAGTGTAGATTTCAGACTAAAAATAAGTCATCTTATTAAAACATTTAGAAACACGTGTCCACTAGTAGTTCAGGGTTACAGAAATGAGATCAGATTTACATTTTAATTTTACAAGGGTCACTTTGGCCTCAATGAAGATGATGTACTGCAGGAAGTTATCTCAGAGCCCAGCAGACCATTTAGGAAACTTGTGCACAAGCAAGGAAGGACTAGGACTGGACTGATGATGGCTGTGGGGATGGAAAGGAGGGGATGCTCAGAAGTGATGCTGTAGCAGTGAATAGGGCAGAACTTTGTGGATTCTTAGATGTCAGGAGGGAGATGAGTTGTAATAGGCTCACCAAGCTCCAAAAATATCCACATCCTTATCCCTGAAACTTGTAACGCTATCCTTCCCTGGCGAAAAAGGACTTTGCAGATGTGATAAAGTTACAGATTTTGAGATGGGGAAATTATTCTAAATTTTCTGATGTCCTCTAAATGCAATCCCATGTATTTTGTGTGAAGGAGGCAGAGAAAGATTTTACACACTCAGAAAAGGAAAATACTGTGTGAACTCACGGGGCAGAGATTGGAGTGATGTGGGCACAACTCAAGGAATGCCGTCAGCTATCAAAGCTGGATGCAGCCATGAATAGATTTCCACCTAGACCTTCAGAGAGAGTGTGACCCTCCTGACACAATGCTTTTGGCAGAGTGTTACAGATTTTGGATATTTGTCCTCCAAACTTTGAGAAAATAAGTTGATTTAAGCCACCAAGTGTGTGGTAGCGTGTTACAACAGCCACTGGAAACTAACCCAGAGCCTATGATGTATCCAAGTTTTCTGAGTCAGGTGCCGCATTGGGTGGTGGGTCCGTTAGCCAGAATGGGGGACACGTGGAAGAGGAGAAGGTTGTGGACACACAGTGAGTTCAATTTTATATATTCCTTCAGAAATAACTGTGGAGTGCCTGAATGGAGTTGTCCAGATGGCAGCTGGATACTTGTTTCTGGATATCCGGGAAAATTTGCGGGAGGAAGTATTAGCTTGAGGTCTTGATGAGTGGCATAGATATCGATAAGCCATGTGAGTGAGTATGCAAATTAAAAATGAGTTAAATGAAATAGAACCCTGGATTTTCACTATAAATTGAGGGGTTGGTGAAAACAAATTACACTGGACAGTCCACAGGATTGAAACCACAGTGTGGGGAAGCAGGTTGGTTGTGGTTATGATGAGGACAAAATATTAGTGACGCTGCTAGTTGGAAACCACATGACTAGGCAGTTAGGCCACAAGATCCCTCAATACAGGACGAGTAGCAGGAAGATTTTAGTTGCTTTTTACCCTGAATCTTCATTTTCACTCATGGCCACAAAAATGGGAAATCTGTAAAGTAATGCAGGATGAATCGTGACTGAATATATCCTCCCGTGATCCCTACACCTCAGGCTGCCGTGGATAACTGGACGTCGGGTCTCTGAAATTTACTACTGACAACACTCAATGGCTACTTCATGATGAAAACCAACCCAACTTGATGCCAGAGACTGTTGGATAATGACAAGACAAGTAGAGAAGTGCAGGGCAAGTGATTTATTGAAGCAAGATGTTGAAACTTGCACATTTTCCAGTGAAGTTCAGGTGACAATTGTAAGACAGAGGTACTGCTATAGATGATTTGATACAGCATTGTAAGCACACTTCAATACTACTTTCCCCTGAAATAGAAAAAGAAAGAAAGAAAGAGGAGGTCAGTCGTGCTGCTCCTGGAGACGACACAGTAACACACACCAATGTTCCCACCAAGATATCAATGAAATTTCATCTAACAAAAGACAAATGGAAGACACCAGGCAGGACCCCAGTGTGCAGGTAAATTAAGTAGACCTGGTACAGTTACAACCAACCATGCATGTCATGAAAACACCGTTTCCATAGTCCAGCAAATAAACCCCCAGGTGACCCAAGTGTAGGACTCAGGTTTCTATGGAAGGAGCCGGGGGTGAAGGGTTGGACAGCGGAGCCCGTGATTTTTTTCTTCTGATGTCGCAGGACAGAGGACTCTACTTTTTCACTCTAAAGGGGACAGAGGCTTGAGAGATCAGGAGAGAGGAGGGACAGGACATGGGAAGTACCGCTTTCAGGAGATTCCCACCCTAGGGTGTGAAAATTCAACCTGATGGCACATGTAATTCTCAGCACTGAGAATCTAGCTTCCATGGGCATTTGCAGCTGAAGCTCATGACCAAAACCTGGTGGTAGATGGGCTGAGACACCTTTAACTATCTGATTCTGGATAAAGACATAATTTAAGCGTTTCACCGTCACATGTGGCTGCAGGAGACCAAACAAGGAGAGTCTCTGCCCACTGGCTATGATGAGGAGGAGAGTCATAGGTGAGGAGTGGAAAAGTGGATGGAGGTGAAAGGAGTGGGCCTGGACTCTGCAGAAGCTGGCAGAGAAACCAGCCAGCACCCTCTCTATCCTGACAGAGGGCAGGGGCTAGTTCTCTCCCCCTGCATGTCTCCTCATCGAACATTCCCAACACTCCCCATGAGATTCCACAGGGACTGTGTCCACTGGGTGAGGGAACTCACCCTCAGGAAAGTTCCCTGGCAGGGAGGAAGCTTTGGCCCTTCAACATCACTGCATGGGGCCCCAGGTGTCCTCCTCCTCAGGACACTATGGGGAGCCTGGCACCCAGAGAGGTGACTTGAGAAGGAGGAACATGCCCAGACGTTACTTGCAGTCTTGGTATAGCTCAGCAGGTGTAATGTTATCATCCACCCTGTGGCCATGGGTCACCCTATCAGAGGTGAGCAGTGAGACAGGTGCCTCCACCACCCGTGCCCCCCAAGAGCAGCACCCTGACCTTCTTCCTGGCTGTTCATCTGATCATAAGCCTCTATGCACAAAGAAGAAAGAAATTACCTGTGCTTTTGAAATTTGCAATCTGCTCCCAAAGGAGATCTCATCTGTGAATCTCTTCACTTCCAACTTGGCTTCATAAGCTTCTGGAGGTGTGGGAAATTTCTTAAGTCATAACTTATAGAGAGGTTCATTAAAGAAGAAGAGGGATGTGAAATCAGAAAGAATGGATGTACAGACAACTGCATTGGCTAGAGAAGAAGAAAAAGAAATACAATTGACATAAGGAAAGTTGATGTTTCCTATGGCTCTGATATTAGAACTAGAACAGGAAACCCAGGGATTTTATGTTCCCATCTCATCAGTGTGCTGACAACAGTGTCAGACCCTCAGGGTCATGATTTCCTCATGGTGACACTGCAAGTGGCAGAGCTAGGACTGGACAACAGGTGTCCTGATGCCTGGTTCAATTTTTACGTGTTGTAAAGTACACCTACAACTTTCCAAGACTCTCCTGATTTGCTGAAATTCAGTCTTCCTAGATTTCAAAAAAATTCAGTTTTGCCTGTCAAGGCAGTGATACCTTATTTTGTCTTGAGTATTGGGGGAGAAGAGACTTTACTAATCAATTTTTTCAAGTGAATGGTAGAGGCAGATTTTACCAGAGATCAGAGAAGGGAGAAGAAATCTGGAGATGAGTAAGTAAACTATTTATACATTGGAAGATGCTATTTTGAGACTAAATAATAGGATTATGGCATTAGACGCAGACATAAATAAAAAGCTACAAAAAATTAAAGCTAATCAGTTTGAACACATTAGAAGCTTATACACAGAATTATGATTGGCTCTTTTATTCTGCAGCGATGTACAGAGTTCCTTGGAGAGAGTGAGAGGTGGGAAGGATGGCTCATTCCTGACCCCACTGGAATTGTGCTGAGACTTGAGGTAACCACTTTTCCTGGTCTGGATTCTCCATTCCCCAGAGTCTTTGCAACCACCCTGCATCCTGGGGCATGCCCTACGAGGCTCTGATCTGACCCCTGGTCAAACATCAAACTATGCAGAGAATTTGGAGAGGGTAAAATCAGAGGTCACACAGGGAAAGTGAAGAACATTTAGAAAGTCAGATGAAAGAGAAAGACTCAACAAGACTTGGGTCAGTATCGAGAGGGAAAACGTGCAAAAGTATTGTTGAATAAATCTCTAGAATTAATCTAGAAAAATAGAAATTGTAGCCCCAATGATTGTACTAGTTCTACTACAATTCCTGGTAGCACGCCTGGAAAACTAGTAGCACTTGTAGACACACTGAATGCTGCTTATTCACAGAGCCCATTTGAAGATTTATTATTCAGAGATTCAGAGAGCACTGCCTCTTCTTGAACTGAGAACTCTCCAAAAACCATTCCAGCTGTAACATTTTATGATTCTGAATCTATGATTTAAAAAACTGTGGATTCAATAGGCACCTAAAAATCTCTAGAAAGAGGACATCTGATAACTACGAGATGTCTGCTCGATACCTAGAACTGGACTCCTGACACTCTCCATCCCACTCCACTGTCATAGCTACTCTTGTTGGTAGCTATAAAACCCGGTGACAAGAGGAGACTTGGAGAGATTAATCGTTTTGCTCAAGGTCAAAGCACTGGTCAGTGGCAGAGCCATGCTTCACATCCAAATCTTATGTCATGCAGATTCTGAAACACAGATCACAGATAAGGAGTGAGGCTTCAGGTGGAAAACTCTTAAAATATGCCAGCAATGATTTTTTGTAGAAGTTTCAGAGTATTGGGATTTGATAGAATGAACCATGGGCTTTTGAGGGTCTAGTTCACAGGTAGAGAAAAAGGTTTGCATTTTGATTTGTCCATACTCCAATTAAGTTCACCTAGTTCAGACAAGGTTGCTTACCAGGGCTGGTGCTGGACTGATTAGAAATGATACTCACCTTCATAGCAGCAAAGGGCCAGAATGACTAGCAAGATAGACAGAGACAGCCTCAGGGTGGTTTATTTGCTTTGAGCTTTCAGCTTTAGCAAATGATAAGCTTTTAGGAGCTGAACTCAGGAGCCTGGGGAGCCCAGGGCTATTTGTATCTGGAGAGCTTCACTGATCCTGCCCACATGGCACATGGCAGGTCACAAGGTCTGGTTTCTAGCCCTCTCATCCTCACTGAGGCCTGATGCCATCCATCTGTGTCACATTCTCCAATGTCTTGATCAAAGTTCCCATTTATAGACATTGCTGGCACCATGCATCTCTTTTTGTTGCAATTTCAGACAATTTGTAGCTTCACAAATGAATAATGAGTTAACTGATGGGATCCCCCTCGAATTTAGCTCCTTAATTTCAGGGCAGTGTCCAGTTTTGCGTATCTTTACCTGCCACAGTGCCTGGCACAGAGAAGAAGAAAAGTAAATAATCCTTGAATAAATGAATTAATGTGAAGTAAAGAAATCGCCTCTCGTGCTACCACATGGATGAACCTTGAGAACAGCACACTGAGTGAAATAAGCCAGTCACAAAAAGGCAAATACTGTATGACTCCACTTGTATGAGGATCTAGAGTAGTTAAATTCGTAGAAACAGAGAGTAGATGGTGGTTGCCAGGGGCTAGGGGGAGGGAGAATGTAACGTTCAATAAAAATTGAGTCATCAAAATAACAGTGAGCTGATAATACCTGGAAACACACTGTTATCTTCCATACAGGTCCTTCGAGTTGCAAAACTTTCTGTAGCTAATAATAGTGATAACAAAAACAGTAGCAATATTTTTTGATTGCTAATTATGGCCAGAGGGTGTGTGAAAACAATTTAACATATTCTATCATTTCTACAAATTTACAAGCTACTATATTTCCCATTTCAAAGTTGAATCAACTAACGTGCAGAAAGTAAGACATTTACTCAAACTTAAATAGTTTGGAAGCTCGTAGGTTGAGCTCAGGCTTGGATGGTATGTAAATGTAAACAAAATGGCACTTTCAGTTGGGATGCCTGGTAGTGGTGGCATGTCAGTTGGAATGGAGGTGGATGATAGTTAAATTCTATCTCAGCAGTTTGCATCTCAGTTTCTGACTCAATTGAATTCTTCTAGTTGATGCCTCCCCTTCCTAGTTCCTTCATCTGCTTCTCTTCAATTCTTTTTCTTTTCTTTTTTAAAAAAAGATCATTTATGACAATACCAAATGCTGATGAGGACGTGGAGCAACAGAAACTGTCAATCATTGCTGATGGGAATGCAAAATGGTACAGCCACTTTGGAAGATAGTTTGGCAGTTTCTTACAAAATGAAACATACTCTTAGCATACGATCCAGCAATTGCACTCCCTGGTATTTACACAAAGGAGTGGAAAATCTATGTCCACACAAAAACCTGCACATGAAGTTATAGCAACTTTGTTCATAATTGCGAAAACTTGGGAGCAATCAAGACGTCCTTCAATAGGTAAATGGATAAAGACTGTGTTACATCCAGACAATGGAATATAGGTCTAAAATTCAATGGAATTCAGCTCCAAAAAAAATGAGCCCTAAGCCATGAAAAGACATGGAGGAAACTTAAATGCATACTACTAAGTGAAAGAAGCCGACCTGAAAATCTACATACTATATGATTCCAACCTTTTGACATCTTGGAAAAAGCAAAATTATGGAGACAGTCAAAGATCAGTGGTTCTATGGTTCAGGGAAGAGAGAGAGATGAATAGGAAGAACACAAATGATTTTCAGCGTAGTGCCACTATTCTGTATGACACCATAATGCTGGATACATGTCATCATACACCTGTCAAAACCCATAGAATGTACAACCTAAGAGTAAACCCTAATGTAAATTATGGCTGAGTGATGATGTTGTGTCCGTATAGGTTCACCAGTTGTAACACATGTACCATCAGGTGTGGGATGTTGACACTGGGGGATGCTGTGCATGTATGGAGGTAAGGGGTGTATGGGAACTCTCTGCACTCTCTGTTCAATTTTTATGTGAACCTAAAACTGCTCTAAAAAAATAAAGACTAGGTAAAAAAATGAAGAGAAATATCTTGTTAAAAATATTGTCTTCAAACAAGAAAAACAATTAGATGAATAAATTAAATAAATGAATTGTTCACTATATATAGATAACTGATCAACTATCAGGAAAATCTCAGATAATCCACTAAAAAGAAACTATTAGAGGGGCCAGCCTGGTGGCGTAGTGGTTAAGTTCACGCATCCCGCTTCGGCGGCCCAAGGATCCGGGGCGTGAACCTACTCACTGCTCATCAAGCCATGTTGTGGCAGCATCCCACATACAAAATAGAGGAAGATGGGCACAGATGTTAGCTCAAGGCCAATCTTCCTCAGAATAAAAGACAAAAAAACTGTTAGACCTGATGAAAGTTCATTATGTAGCTGAATACAAGATCAGCCTATAAACATCAATCATTTTCCTATAAACCTGCTATTACCATATGTGACATAATGGAAAAAATGATCTGTTGGCAATATGAACAACAGTACCAACAATAATATATTGAAATACACAAAAATGGAAATATGCAAACCCTTAAGGATAAAATCATGAAACCTTACTCACAGATGTAAAAAGGAATCTAAAAAAACCGCAGCACACACCTTGTGCATGAAGGAAATATTAGATAATTTTAAAAAGTCAACTATTCTCAAATGATTCTACAAGTTCACTCCAGCCCACGGCAGAATCTTAAATGGACAGTCTTACCCTTTGTTTTGAGTTCTGAACTGCTGTTTGGATCTTTCAAAATTAGAACGTATTCATTTACTGATCAGTGGGAAAGAGCCCAACTTTATGGCCAGACTATCTGGTTCAGGCTCAGCTCTGGCACTTTCTCCTTATAGGGACATCAGCAAGGTGCTGACTCTCTCAGCCTCAGTTTCTTCATCTGTAAAATAAGTGTGATAATAATAGCGCTTACCTTATAGGATTTGTGTTAGAAAATATAAAATAGTATAGGAAAAATGCTCAGCAGAATGTCTGGCAGTAAATGTCAGCTATTACACTTATGTAACAAATAGGAAAAAATTTAAGTAATAAGTCAAACAAAATAAATTACCTCATTCCCAAAGTCAATAACCAAATTGAATCTAACCGACTCTGCCTGTGCGGAGTGTTTATGTATCCTAAATGCTAACAGAGTGTTCATCAGAATTTGCCTCTGATTCCGCTGGAATTTCTCTTGGTTAAGAAGAGATCATTACTTACAATCACTTAATTTATTGTTTTGTGGTCACCCCTAAGTGACTGTTATTGCGATTTTAAAATCATAAAAGTTTAATATTGGAACTCAGGTTATAGGAGGGTGGTAGGTGGGGATAGGTATTACCTATACGCAAGACACAACGTGGTCTCTGGGCTCATGTCCTCCACAGGATGCACCGGTCACCTGTGTCCTTTTAGCTGAGGTTGAAACCCCAGGAATTCTCTAGGGCCTAAGTCTCTAATTGGTTAACATGTACATGGGGGACAGAAACACTTAAGACGTGACTTCTGGATGGTAATGTCCACATATACTTTTACGATATATGTACCACGTGGTTACACTGGTTCTCATCTTCCACCTCCCCTCGCATACACATTCTTGTTCCAGTTTACAAAGACAGGAGGCATATACATCACCCATCAGACCTTACACAGTATTGACTCCACATGTGCAAATCTCTAGACTCCAAAAAAAAAAAATGTAAAAACTCATTTTCTATAGAAAGTGGTTTCTGCTTCCCTGCTTTGAATAAAATCCAAGGAAGACCTAATTTAGCCATGGCTTATAAACGATTAGAATTAATTTTGAGTGATAGATCACTATGTCATTTTTAGCCCATACCCCAGAGGAATTCAAAGAATCTACTGACATTGATGCCACAAACTCATTCTTTTCACATGTGCATATTCATGTGACAAGTATTTTCAGAATTTACATCTATAAAGTTGAAAACATGAATAAAATTGCCTCATTTACCAATAAATGATATTATCCATGGATATATAAAACCTGAAAAGGTTTTACTCATTCATTAAGAGATGGATTTATCAATATAATTTTTCTTCACATATTTAAGAAGCATCAAAAATTGAAATCTGTATGTCTGTTCTTTAACCAAAACTGCAAGCATCTCTGCGGGTACCCAAATAACCCTTATCTAAGGGTTTTGTATCCTAGAAGCCATTTCCTTACTTCTTCCCCTGCCATCCTGCAGTGCTGTGCCTACATGATTTATGCCCTGAGGATCTCAGGGAAATGTGTGAGCTGATGGAGCCACTCCTTACTACTCCCAAAGACCAGCTGCCAGCAATCCTCAACACCTAATGCATGATCAGACTGTTTGCTACAAGCTCTGAGCTGCAAAGGGAGGCCCATGATGCGGAGAAGGCATTTGGACATCAGAGATTTTTTTCCTTCACCTTGTTCAGCAACTCTTCCCACGAAGTGATGGTCCTGTGATGTCTAAATCTCTTTTCTGTGTCATGACCTAGGAAGAAGGAGGTGGAAAAATATCATAAATCCTTGGTTTGCTCCTGAATTTTCTATAACAGTTTCTCACTGTGTGTCCTGCCTTACTTGTGCATTTCAAAATGTTGGGAATGCAGTCCAGGTGCCATTTCAGATGCAACCTGGAGTTGAAGACCCTTCATCCAACCACACATTGACTTCGTACACCGTGGTCCATCAATGGCAATTCCCATGACCCACCTGTATCATGCACTCTCCCTGGATGGCCTGATTCTTCCTTTCAAGAAAGCAGAAGTTTGTTCATCACAATGAATTTTGCCTCAGTCCTACAATTTTTAATATTATACTTTAAAATAACTTCAAACTTACAGAAATGTTGCAATGATATTTACACTAGAAGGACACATGTACAAATTTACCCAGATCCACCTATTATTGACTTGTTACTCCATTTGCTCCAGTATAGTCTCTTTGGGGGAATTCTGTTCAAAAAAAGACTAAGACCAGGGGTCTTAACCTATAAGACAAGTTTTCCAACAGATATGCAAATGCATAAACATCAAATTACAACCATATATCCCATGCCAATCCCAGATCTCTGGCAAGGTCACACAGAAATATAGTGGCAAACCAAGGACTTAATAAATATAAGAAACAAGTCTAAGTGGTATAATGAACTCAGGCTGCACTAGAGTTACTGTGGAGCACTGCAAAAATGAAATTTTTTCATGGATCTGTGAGATTTCCTGGGTGTGCTCCAATGATTTTCTTTCACCAGTAGTAGACACTTGAATGTCAAGGACTGTCCTTCTGTCCTAAGCTTCTTTCCAGCAGAAGTAAGGCTGCCAGACCAAGGTGAGGCATTGTTCTAAAACATCTGTTCTACCTGGGGAACTGATCTTACATAAAGGGATTCCAGAGGGAGACCTGCCTTGCAGCAATGAAGCTAGGTCATCAGAACTCTTCTTCATCATCCTCATAGTCTCTAAGGTGTGCTGGACCATCTTTGAGGTACATGCATCTCATTGTAAATCAGCTCCACATGTGAACAAGACACTGGAGGACAGCAAGTCACAACTACATCAATGGTACTACCCAAACAGGGAGGGATGTGATTCTTCTGCAAACACAGGTGTCACTTAGGACAATGAAAATAAGCATATTTTCTCCCAGAGAAGAAAGGTTTTCGCTGTGGCAGCCACGACAGTTTGAATGAAGTAGTTTATGAATTCTGGAAGAACTGCATGGAGAAGGAGGCCAAATAACCTCAGGACTTGTGAGGTGGACCAGGAAACTGATGAACTGATACTCGCTGTAGGATCCCCAAGACTATTTACTTTGCTTAACTCTATACTCTGCTCACCTTAAAGACCTTTCTTCTTGAACAGTTCTTTGTAGTGATGTGGGCAATAAAAGCTTTCTGTTCCTTGTAGTTATTGGCCTTCATTAATCTACATTACCATCTAATATTCATGTCCACGTAGCCTCAGAATCTTCCTCCAAGTCTCTCTCACAGTAGATTTGCCACTCTTTGGGTATAAGCATAAGATCTTATAGGAATTTCTCTTATCTCAGCATTAACTAGTACATGGGGATTGACCAATAAAGCTTGTGTATTGGTTTGTTGATTTATTTATTATGCTATTTAAATCATGTTTATCATGTTGTAGGCAACAAACTTACCAGCTACTGACTTTTCTATGAGTCAGACAAATATCCTCCATTGGGGTGAAAGATAAAATCAAAACTCTGTAGATTAAATCACTGTGTGCTAGACAGGGTCTGTATTTTCTCATTTCCAGCGTTGCATTGTCCTACTCGTTTCTCAATGGCTAGAACTGAAGGCCTGTGGGTTACATATCCCAGACTCTCTTGTCAGCTGCTGTCTTTATGAGTTCTCCAATGGAAGGCACTGATGGGAGATTGGAAGGTGAGAAGAGGGCAGAGGGTCATGTTTTCTCAGATTTTCAGGTCATCTCTTGCAGTGGTTGTAGAAGCAGTGTCTATAGTACCCACAGGAGCCCAATAATGGCTATGCTTAATGAATTATGGGAGCATGTAAAATGATCACCTAACCAGGGAGCATTCAGAGAAGCTTCTTGGACGTTATGACATAAAGATAAATAAAGAAAGCATCTATGCTGGAGTAACAGTCAACCTTCAATGACTTTGCAAAGAGTCATAACAGAGAAAGACCTAATCTCATTGCATGCTGGGAACTGAGCAACTAGGACTTCTGAGCAATGGGGTGAAACTGCAGCCAGGTGACACCCCAGTTGGCTGCAGATATTTGCAGGTGCTCTGGACCATTCTTTCCACAACAATACCTGAGTTTCTTGAACACACATGGAAGAATCCTCTCTGCAAGTGATCTCAAATTGTCTTTGGGGATTTCTTATTCCATTCCTCATTTGTCTGCCTTCCCTGGAAAGGAGGAGCAAGGATCAGAGTCCCAGTTTTTATTGAATCTCTAGGAACAATGAGTATTAAGAGAGAGAGATGAATCATCCAAAGTTAGAGAATGCAACTGCCCAATTTTTCCCACCATAACTGCTTCTGCACATTGGTTCTATTAATTCACTACTGATTGAGCACCAGATCTGTCCTTACTCAGGGCAACAAAGAAAGAAAAGAAAATACCAATCTCCTTCTCTCAAGATGTGCAGAGTGGGGATGATTTAAGCAAGCAAAAAGAGAGGAACTTGTTAAAATTAGATCAATTTTATTAACATGAATGAGATTTAAACCAACACTGAGCCATTTGTTGGGAAGGGAAGGGTCACAAGATCTTTAATAAAATGGTCTCCCCCTCAGCCAGGCAAACCCACTGGGAATGGAGGAGAATGTTCAATCCATGCTTTACTGAGGTTCAAATGTGGTGACGGTTTGGTGGTTTCTTTAGTCTGTTCAAATTCTCCAAGCAAAGCCTTGGAGCATGTCTCATGGACCCTCAGGCCTTAGATTAAAGACTGTGAGAGCAATCAGAAATTTCAAGCCATTTAAACTCCTATTGCTTCACATCTTGAGTGCTTTGATACCAAAATTGTGTCTGCCTCCTTCTCTGCCTATGTCACATTCCTTGGTAAATGCCAGGAGAGACAACAAGGAGAGGGGCTTGGAGGCAAGTGTGAGTGACTGGTCTAATACAGGTCAGGAAGGTCAACCTTGGGTTCCTAAACAAGGTGTCAATTGGTTGAGGCTTGAAGGATGAACAGGAGTTGACTAGGTTATCAAGGTGGGCATCTGTGGAACAGGTGACATTCGTGGGAGAGGGCTGGGTAATGTCTCCCTTCCAGTAGTAATGACCAAGGCTGTGCATCCTTGTTCTATATAACTCTGAATTCACCTTTCTTCTTATTTTTTTCTTATTTCAGTGGTTTAAAAAGTAATGGTTTATTGTTATTACATCTCAGTCCAGTGTAGTGGGTCAAGAAAGGGGAGATACTCCATCATGTGTTAGAGTTCTGAAGGTGGGGCAGTGGGCATGTTCCCACAGGATGTGGGCAATGAAGAAATGCACTGACTGTGGAAAACTTACGAATGATAGTAACATGTAATAAACACCAAGTGCTTTTAATTATCACCATGAGCTAGTTTTTCCGAACAACATCATTGATATCATCCTCCTCCCAGATTGACATTCTAAGTAATTGTTACACAGACCTGGAGCAGATTGCTCCAAGTGCCCTGTCCATGACACAACCTGACCAAATGTGGTCATTCAGGGACCCAAGTTTCTTCCATTGTGTGCCTCCAGAACCTCTAAGAGCCTTAGGTCTCCACTAGATTCCTGATCCAGTGGCAGGTATTCTGGAAAAGTCAAAACTATGGAGAAAACTATGCAATCATTGCCAGGGGTTGGGGAGAGGAAGTGATGAATAGGAGGAGTACAGGGTATTTTTAGATCAGTGAAACCCTTCTGGGCTATAACGGTGGGTACACGTCATTATTCACAAAAGGTATAGAATGTACAACACCAAGAATGAACTCTAACATAATCTATGGACTTTGGGTGACAATGGTGTGTCAATACAGCTTCATCAATTGTAACAAATGTACCACTCTGGTGGGGGATGTTGATGGTGGGGGAGGTTGTGCATGTGTATGAGTAGAAAGTATACAGGAACTCTCTGTACTTTCTGTTGAATTTTGCTGTGAACCTAAAAATGCTCTAAAAAAGTAGTCTATTAAAGAAAAAAAGAGGACAACATGTTAAAAATATTCTCTTCAAACAAGGAAAAAATCCATATAAAAAACGAATCAATGAATTAGTCACTATTTATAGATAGTTGGTCAACTATCAGTGAAATCTAAGAGAATCTACTGAAAGAAACTATTAGAAATGATAAGAATTCATACAGTTAACTTAATATAGGATCAGTACATAAAAATCGATTCCTTTCCTATAAACCAGTTATTATCATTACATGATATCATGGAACAAAACGATACCATTGGCAATAGGAACAAGAGCAGCTGCATAATATTGAAACATACCTATTGGAAATACACAAACTTTTAAGGACAAAATCATGAAACTTTACTCACAGATATAAAAGTGAATCTAAATAAACAGAGGTGTACCTCTTGTTCCTGAATTAAATAATAAAAAATTTTAAAGATGTCAACTATTCTCCACTAATTCTACAAATTCAAGGCTATTACTATCAGAATCCTAATAAGATATTTTTGTGCTCTGTTTTGAATTCTAAAGTTCTGTTTGGATGATTGAAAATTAGGATGGTTTTACTTATTGAGTAATGGGGATGAACCTGACTTTGGGACCAGATGACTTAGGTTCAAGCTCAACTCTGGCATTTTCTACTTGTGATCTTCAGCAAGGTACTGATCCTCTCACTCTCAGTTTCTTCATCTGTAAAATAAGGGTGATAATAATAGTGCCTACCTCCTAGGATTTGTGTCAGGAGAAATAAATTAATACAGGAAAAATACTCAGCAGTGTCTTGTAGTAAATGTCAGCTATCACACTTATGTAAAAAAAAAAAAAAAAGGAACAAATATAAATAAGTCAAACAAAATTAATCACTTCATTTCCAAAGTCAAGCATCAGAAAATATGACTGACTCTGCCAACAAAACATGTTGATTTGATCTAAATGCTAACAAAGTGCTCTTCTGAATTTGGCTCTGGTTCCATTGAAAGTTCTCTCAGTTAAGAGGAGATCATTACTTTTTTCAACCACTTAATTTATTGTTTTATGGTCACCTTTAAG